AATAGACTGAGGGAGTGCACATGAACTCTGTTAATTCCACCTAAAAAAGGCAAACTGTAGTACACCTGAGCTGCAGTTGCTTTGTTCTTGACAAAAGAGCCCTACTGTTTAAGCACACCCTTCACTCCACAACATGTCTTGTTACATCTATTCTCATTCTTCTGGAACAGAAGGAAGAGGAGAATGATAACTCCTCTATGGGAACCCTTTCCCTTCATATGAGAAAGAGTGACCCACACAATACTCTCTTCTTCCTAAGCAAAGCTGGAGGGAGGCAGAAAACCAGCCTTCCCAAGTGGAGAGGTCTGATGAGCTGTAACTTCCCAGTGTGCTGCTTTCAGCATGAGCTTTAAGCCAGCAACCAACACTACTCCGAGACTGCAACCTTTTCTTTCTCCTATGGACAAATAGTGCTGATTCTGAACCAACAAAAAGTGACTGACCATCCTCTTAGGCAAGCAAAACAACCATGACTACTTCTCCTCTGCCTGCAGATGGGATATCATATCCTGCCTCCACTGGGAGGTTGGAAACAAAAGCAGTACAACTCACTGCAAGCATAGGAGTAGGACAGGCACTCAACTTTCCTGACACTTCTCAGGAGAAACTAGCAGAGCTTTAACTCTGCTTCATGCTTCTACAACAATTCCAGTTGGACAAGGAAAAGAATAGAAAAGCAGCCCTATATTTTTAAAATTTTATTATATGGAGCTTTACTCTTTTATTTGCCAAGTTTATATTGTCAAAATAGTTTATTTTATTTTTAATTATTTTAAACATCAGTTCTTTTATTTTGAGGTTTTGTTTTTTTTTTTTTTTCATTTTGAATGATCTTATACCTACAAAAGTCTCCTCCAAATCTATTTCAGGAAGACTAGAAAGGGCTGTTTTCCTGCTGCAATGTGGGATGTTAGGCAGCCCTGCTGCTTGATCGGTGAAGAGCCAGGTGTCATGCTGGCAATGGGCTTCTCATCAATTGCTGATTAAGATTTGTAAAATTATATATTAGCTGATAGCCAAAATCTGTAGCTGTGCTATTAACTATGACTGTCAAAGGAGGCAGCAGGAAGAATCCAACCAGCAGGCCACCATTCTTGTTAGCACGATCACTAGCTCTGTCCTGCATAAGCATTTAGGATGTGCTTTACCTGGGACCGGACTTCAAGGCCACCCACTGCCACCAGCAGCCCAGCTGCCCATCTGTCACGATGTATTCCTGCTGTGGAAAACTTGGTGTTGTAGCACAGGTCTCACAGTCTGCTTAGTCAGTGGCTTCACTTCATACTAAAGGCTACTTAAGATCTGGTGGCTATCTCCCTGCTGATCCTTTTTCCCCACCTCCAGCAGAAGCAGCCAGGGAGCTCTTCTCACCCTTTCTGATGCATCCTCTGTATCTCAGAACTGGAGGCACTGCACCTGCACAGCTCCCAGCTCTTCCAGTTGGCTGGGCAGAACTCCAGTTTGGAATTAAGTTTGGGATTGCAGCCAGGTTTATCTTACCTGCAGAGGTTTTTGCCTGAAACCAGGCCTGAAGGGTTTTCAGTCCTCAAAAATTAGAGGGATTTTTATTGTCTGACTTTTTACCAGAGGAGGCTATACCCCTCTGAGTTTCATTCTTTCTAGGTAAACAACTCTCTAGTCTGTGTAGATGTGCCCCCAGGCAGGCATAGATACATTTTAGGAACTGAATAAATAACCTCAGCTATACATTTGATCTTGGCAAGCAGTGAATTATTTCACTATGCAGGATGAAGATGGCACTTGTAACATAGGTAGATAAGACATAACTTTCCAAAGATACACCTCTGTTCTAATTTATTCACGGCAGTGTGTTCTTTTCTGGGCACTCTGAAGCCTCTAAAGTAATTTCTTTCTATCCAATGTGCTTTAAAGATTCAGTTTTCACCCTTACAATAAAACCAAAATTTTCATGATTGGGTCAGAGAAAGAATAAAATGCATGCTTAGTTTCTGACTTTGGGGGAAGGGTGATAAGCATGACAATCAGAGAGAGCGCATGGTGACACTTGGCATGGCTAGGTACATCTCCGTTTCTTCTGTTGTGCTTGGAAAATAAAATGGGATTACCTTTCTCTCCATGCCTAAGTGGATGTTTCACAGAAACTGTCTGACCAACTGAGGGGGCCAGCCACATTCACCCAAAAGACAATTTTCTGAGAAGCTGGTCTTTGAAAGGACATGTGCATCAACAAGTAAACACTTTCTCCATCCTATTTTTTTTTCTTTTTTGTTTTTTAACCTGAGAGGTGAGTCCTTCTCCCACAGTGAAAGAACCCTTGGTAAACTCCAGCTTGGGAGCTCAGCCACTCCTAATATTAGCTTGCACCATTATGCAAATGCAGCCCTGGTATTCCCACAGTCTGGGGAGGGACCCAATCCCAACTTCCCACAGCATCCAACAGCTGCCTACAGCCTGGGCTCTGCCACCATTGAAGACTGCAACATTTGTCTGCCCTTAGTTCTGACTTGGGTTTTGCCAGCTCCTGTCACTGGATGTACTTGTTGCAGCTCTGTGCTTGAGAGTCTCCCTCTGCTCTAGTTTTCAAATGCAATAAAACATTAATTGCTGAGAATACACAACTTCAGCTGCTAACATTTAAGAAAGATGGTGAAAGCAAGATTGCAATCATAATGCTTTATCTCAATGCTACATGTAAACCTAATCCAGTAACTTTCTGTTTACCTTTTCTGGATAACTGTATAAACCTGCTCAGCAACTTCAAAAGACATTGAAAAACCACAAAACCCTAAGTTTGGTTTTGGTTTTTTTTTTTTTTAATTTTTAAATTTAATCTTGCAGCAAAGCTTGAGAAAACATTAGACCTCCTAACAAAAATAAGCAGTACATTTCTCCACACTCAAGAGCTATTTCAGTAGTGCACTGAAACTCCTTTTCACTCAGATCAAACAAACTATATTGACTCAATTTCTCCACTAAATAGGATCCTAGCATGGACACAATGGAATTCTAATGTTACAGGGTTCCAAGCTGATAGCTGCAAGTGTTTGGCTCAATGTTTCTGGGATAAGTTTTGGGCCATGGCAACATGTTGGTATGCCCTTGTGGAGAACCAGGTCCAGAAGAGTTGAAATCTCTTTTCTTCCCACCTCTCTTCAAAAGGTCCCCATACCTCCCTGGAGCACAGGATGGGAGCAGTCAGTACCCCTCACCCTATCACTGATCCTCTTGCATCATGCAAGGCAACCTCAATGAAGAAATGTTTACAGCCCAGTCTATTCTCCCATTTAATTTTGCTCATCTGTGATGGTGAGACTACTTAAATATCCAAACAGAGAATACTTATGGTTGCCTGCCTGTTAGAACAATTTTTTTACGCCTGCCTCTAAAACTGTAAACATGGGAATCAAACATCTGTTGTGCTTTCAGCAGGAAAAGAGATTACAGTGAGGTACAACTACTAACATTCTTTATTCTGGCTCAGATTTTTTTTTTTTATTGCTAAGAGTTTTAACACAATGATATTATACACAATATAAAAGAACTTACATTTAAATAGGCTTACAATTATTTTCACTACATCTTAATAATTTGAATGACACATGCCTTACTCTTTCATGAGCTGCCAGGGTAAAAAAAATCCCATCCAGCCCAGCAAAATTCTCTCTGCATGGCTTCACACCAGTGAACAGGAAAGGAACACTTCATGAATCTCCAGTCTTCACCTAAAGTTGCCCAGTGACTTTCAGGTCTGCAAATGCTCCTATTGTCAGGGCGTAAGACAGATATGTTCTGTGCTGCAAATGTTAGAATAGTTCATAAATTCAAATTTGTAAGGGAGTCAGGATCATGCTATTGCTTTTTGAAAGCAATACATCCAGTCAACTGAGTTCACGTGTGGCTGAAGGCACACCAACTATTTTGGAGAAAATAACATTTTTGCTCATATAAAAATGATGCTATGTAAATTTATTTGTTCATTTTAGGCAGAACTGTCTGCATAAGGCTTTTTTTTTTTTTAGAATGACTTGATTTTTAGACAGATTTCTTCTGCACTGTAACTGGGAACTTAAGGGAATTTGAGCCAAACAAAGAAATAATTGTTTCCATCTCTTCAGCAATGTGTTGTAATATTGCAAAAGTTATCAAACTTTCTTATAAAAATAGAAAAACATTTATTTATAATTAAGTCATAGGATGCATAAAAGGAAACTTATCATATTAATAATTTATATATTTTTAAACTTTTCTGGCTCAAGATGTAATAGCCAGCACTTTGCTGTGGCTTATTATGCAGCCCTGTCTTCTGAGCAGACGCAGCCCTTCATGTTTGTATTTTAGAGGAAACATATCTTTCTGTATCACTGACTTTAGAAAGATGAGAAAAATAAATTTGTTTCTTTGCATGCTTGGGATTCACTGTGTTTGCTCCTGATAAATTCAAAGGATACAAATTTCCTCCCTGTGATATAGGAGAATCTTTCTGATCTTTTTGCATACTCCAGCCAGTCTACTTGACTTAATTTTGTTTTTGGGAAAGGGCTTCTGAAAATCTGACAGAGGTTTTTGCCAGTGATTCCAACTGTTAAATTCCATGGGCATGGGAATATCTCAAGATAAAGCTTATATGATCCACCTTTTCTACCCTTTGGCAGCATCACATTTCTGTGGTCTGTCTCCCCACCTTATACTGCCATCATCTGACAGAGGATCCAGAGAGACTAAAAATATTGTTAAATAAAAACTTTATGTGACAAGAGAAAGAAAATAGACTCAGAAGAATGTTAAGAGTGTTCTGATATCATCACTGCAAGATGGCATAGGACAATGTGTGTACATCACAATGTCTGGCAACAAAAAGAGGAAAATTCTGGGCAAGAAGGAGCCCCTGCTGACAGTGCATGTACATTATGATTATTTGATGGAGGAAGGAAAGGAGAGGAGAAGTATTTAGAATAGATTTCCTTCAGCTGGTGCTGTACTTCTTATGAAATGAAAAGCCCACAAATTCAGTAGGAACATAGCATGTCAGGAAACTTTAATGATCAAGTAGATGTTAAGTCACAAAATATCTCAAAGATTTTCCCCTCCAAGTCACATATTATGAAGAGATATTGCTTTCCAATCCTGTAATAGATTTTGGGTTTTTGGTTGGTTTATTTTTTTTTTTTTTTTTTTTTTTTTACTGGGATACATTTGCATTTGTGTCTGACAATCTACTAGGAAGCTGAAGTCCATACACACACAAGAGAGTTCATTAGGAAGTAGATGGTGTTGTTTCATTCTATACTCAGGCTATCAGTCAGATATAGACAATATTTTAATGAACATTTATTTTACATCCTAATATGAGCTGTTTGCTATTCAGGAAAATGCAGTTTCTAAAAACAAGAGCTACAGAACATTTCTACTTTATGAAACAACTTCATTGTATGTCAATAACATAGTATGTCCTCCTGCCCAGGGAGGTGGTGGAGTCACCATCCCTGGATGTGTTTAAAACCAGACTGGATGTGGCACTCGGTGCCATGGTTTAGTTGAGGTGTTGGGGCATGGGTTGGACTCGGTGATCTTGAAGGTCTCTTCCAACCTGGTGATTCTGTGATTCTGTAACAAACTGGGTCCACATCCTTTAGGTTTCAGCAAAACCTGTGATAGATACTGTAAGATTAGAAATGAAAATCAAATTTTTAAAAAAATATATTTTTAGTTAAACTATTGGCATTGATGGTGTAGTCTTTCAGTTTGGATTTTTCCTTCTGTTTTCCTGTGACTGGTAGGCACAGGACAAATAAACTGACTCAGCAGCCTTGTCAGCGGTGTAATCTTTTTCCTTTTTGTTGCTTTTCCATTTTTGTTCCCTCAGAAATACTTACTTTTATTGACTCATCTCTTCAGTTTGCCTCCAATAAGTTCCTCCTCTGGAAGTACAGCGCCTGTTGTCCCTTGTTCTCTCAAACAGTTCAACAGGTAAAGAGTGCTTATGCTTCTTTTAATTAACCAAATCTAATGTGATGTTTGTTCATTATAACCTTCACCTTTGTTTTATTGCTCAGTTGATTGTTTTATGCACATTGAAGGTTTCCAGCAGTTCTCATAAGCGGTTAGTTGCCCATCAGACCTATACAAGGTATTCAGTGTTGCAGTATCAGTCAAAGGTATTGTTATTGCAAATTCTAGACCTTAATAAGTCAAGCACAGCACAAGAAGCTATGGATATCTATTTTCAGTGGAGATATAATTAAAAGATGCATCATTATGGTTAGAAAATATTCATAGAAAACTTTACTCTTTCAGCATGTGATGATTGCCTATAGGCAACATTCTGAGCAGTCTTCTAGGCTCACCAAAGATTAACATCAAAAGAGTTCACCAGCGGAAAAATGCCTCAATTTTTCAGGTGAGCACCTGTTATCTTTGCAATTTAACAAAACATTGAAAACTTTTTTCATTAATGCTTTAAACCTAATCATAAGTTTGAATATAAATAATATTCAATATTATTTCTATGCATTGAAGTCAATACAAAACTGATAAAATTCTCACTAAAGGAAAGAACATATGATTAAGTCATATTGAACCTGCTTATGAGATGGACAGGAGGCATTGTAAAGTGTTCATTCATCAAGAAACATTTTTTTTCTGTATATTTTCTAATGGAAAGGTTTTTGTTCTTACATGTTTATGAACAAAGCTCTCTGGATATACAAAACTAGCTCTTTGAGTGGACACATTTATTCTTAAGTAAGCTACTATTTTATTTATTCTGACAAAATAAAAGGAATTTTTTTCTGTCTATATGGATTAACATGAACAGAAATAGCTGCCACAATTCATGCCTATGGAAACCCTGATATTCTAAATGGAGAAGTATTAATTTTTTTTCTAAATGGAGGACTTTTGAAACACTTGGAGTAGAACATGATAAAGGAAAGTCCTCACTATGGTACCTTTTGCAGGAATTAATCCACATGGCCCTATGATCTGGGTAACTTTCTGCCTATTCAAACCCATATTTCCATTACAATTGTACGAGTGACTCTTAGTATTTTTCCTTGCTGTTAAACAGCTGTTGCCTTTCAGTGTTGGTAATATAGTTCTACATATAATTTTCTTTTTTGAAATTAAAGTGCTTTGGGATCTCTCTAGATCAAAGATGGACTAGAAATGCAAATTATCCTTAGCCACATAACTCAGAATTACCTTTTTATTTTATTCTAAATCTATATCTGAATATATAAAATCCTGAAAACCGGTGACATTAGACCTGCTCATTTAACTGACATGCTTTTGAGGAAAATAAACAGATAGAACTGCCAGCTGCTGTATGAATGTTGTAATGGAATGAGTGCTAATGCTGAAAAGTATCTCCTTTAATAAAATTTTTAATAAAAAACTTAATTTGATTTCTGTGTTTAGAGAAACAGCCTCAGAAAATTAATATCCAAAAGCTTGAGTGAATTTATGTCATAACTTCTCAAGTTTATTTTTCCCCTCAGTTTTATTAACATAGACATTTGGGTTTGCACCAATACTTGCTCTTTGAATCCCTAATATGTAAGTTTCCTCCAAGACTGTAACAAAACAAACCCTGGCAGAAACTTGCAAAATATAAGCCTGTTTAAGTTACTCAGTAAAGATAACATTTCTCCAAAAATGCAGGAAAAGAAACTCTGGCTGCATGTCAATTAAATTTAGAACTCTCCTTTGCATACAGTGAAAGTCTGGCAGGCCAGGAAAAATCCATAGATGTGATTGCAGTGATAGAAAGTAAAATAGAAAGAGGTCTGTGATGTCCAGGCAGCACATGCATGTCCCGTGCAGGAGAAGTCTCTTCACAGAACTGTCGGTGGCTTTGCTCCCCCATCCCCATGACATGGTTGCCTCAATTTCCAAGTTTTCTAGATGTTTCCAGACAAGATTTGAACAAAACCAAAACACTGGATAAAAGAGCAAGAATAAAGTGCCTATCAAACTTTTATGCAGTTATTTAGCTACAAGCAGCATCAGGGGCTCCAATGGTCAGTGATTCCCCATCTTACTGCTGGGGAATGTCAGGAAGGATTTTGGTAAATGCCCTCCTATTTACACACTGCTCAGCACCATGGCAAAGCCATGGGTAAGACTGGTTATTTGCAGGGATTGCTACCAGAACTTCAAGACGGGTTAGGAAGAATGGTTTGCCTAGGTCACCACCTTTCCTGAGGAAGTAATCAAATCGTGGCTTCCAGCGGAGACTGGAGTACTCTATGGGAGGCCAATGTTGCAGTGGAATGCTATTTTGATAAAGATTTAAAGGAAATGCCCTTGACTACAGTAAAGATGAGGACCATGGCAGTTTCACCTTGTGTCTCTCATTGGAAAGCAAGCAAGTAGCAGGCACTCTGAGGAGGGACTGCAGGACAGGGTCCAGCAAAGCAAACCCCTTTCAGGGCCTGTCCATCCAAAAATGGAGAGAGGATATAGATGGGTGAAACATGTATGTAGAAATCTGAATATAAATGCTAGTTTAAATACTTCTCAAGGCATCCTCAGTACCACTGTTGCTCAAGGTTTTTGTTTCATGGCTAAAGATAGCTCTGCTGGTAACATGAGACAAAATAACAGTGGAATTGTTTTACTCCAAGAGAGGCTGGGTACTAAGGAACCAGCTTTATTTCCTCCCACCACCAGCTCCTTCTAAAAGATGCTTTACTGTGAGCATTATCTTGTATTTCTTAACATGAGCCTTAATGGAACTTCAGCATCCCTATGGCAGTTTTGTAAATGCAGGACTGCCTCTGGGGTATGGCCATTGGCCTGTATCAGGTGTGCTGCTAATGTAAGTCAAGCAAGCCTACGTTTATGCATTTTAAAATACCAGACTCCTGTTTCCATGACAGAACTTGAAGAGACAAAGGGCTGAAGTCTCACAGCTTCAGAGTAAAAAAGATTTTTAGCAAATGATTTGCTCGGTTTTCTGCCAGTCCAGTCCCAACTGATGCAAGACCTCTCTTCCACCCCACTTTCCTTTGCACTAGAATTGCTGTAGCTCCCTCAAGAGACAAGAGTATTTCTGCTGAATTTCCAACTCATAAGATAATTTGTGCTGCTTGTGGTATGCAAACGAGCTTTATGGGACTGGGATATCTTCACAGGGCTCAAAGCGGTGAAAGAACCCCAAGGTATGCTGCACCATTCAGGATCTGAAAGAAAATTTTAATTCTGCTCCTAATTCAAGGTAAAAAATTGGAGAAAAACCCCATAATCTGTGTAAGTTCCTACTTTGGATTGTGAACATTAGCAGGCAGAGATTAGCACCTTTCCACTCTTTCTATAAAAGCTCTTTTATGCAGCCATAAAGTGCAGAAGGGCTGCAGGTAGATCTCTGCCAAAGATCATGCAGTTTAGTGACGGTCTTGGCTGATGAGACACTTCAAGACCTGATCCAGGGCATTGAAGGAACATGGAAAAGGATGCAGAAGCAGCAGGCAGTTACCTAATACTATCAAGTCTCAATAAAAAATGACAAGCTGAGACATTTTGGCAGGCTTTCTGAATACCTAATAGGACAATGCTTGTGTAAATGGGCCTGGAAGTGAGGTGCAGAGAAATAAATTCACAGCAGAAAAAAAACCCGAAACCCACACTTTAAAAGCAGCAAATTATTTCACTTCAAAGCTCTTCAGATCACATCTGACCATAGGGTAACAGAATTAGCCTCACTGTTTCTACAAGACATGATTCACGTCCAGTACTTTATACGTAGCAATTCAGCAAAAAAGCTCCCACCTGAGCCAGAATACATAAATACTTAAATTTTTGGCAGAGCGACCGTGAGAGTATTTGTACCTATGGATTTGCTGTGACAGATAAACAAACCCGTACTCCTTACAGAAGCGAAAGGGAGTAAAACCCCAGGACGGTCGGGAGGGTCTGGTTTTTGCACGGGGCCAGTTCTCACAGAGGTTTCCTTAAACCACGAGACCGCGCTGATCGCAAAGGCAAATGGGGGGCATTCCCACGCACCGGGCAGACGTGTCTGTGCACGGGGGATGTAGGCGGCGGCGGGAGAGGCGGTGCGATGCCCTCCTCCTCCTCCAGGTGAGATCCGCCGCTTCGGCCACTTCCAACACAAGCGAGACCCGTCCTTCCGCCTGCGCTCAGTTCTCCATCCCCCCTTGGCTTTTTTTATTTCCAAATAACTTCCCCCGTCCCCTCTCCCGCCCGTCCGAAGGGGCGGAAGCGGCAGACGGGCGCGGGAGGGACGCGGGGCGGGGGCAGCGCGGAGAGCTCAGCGCGCAGCAGGGGCCGCCCGGCAAGCCCGGCCGAGGAAAGAGGCTCCGCGCCCCCGCCGCTTCTCTCTCCTCCCCGGCCCGGGGGCGGTGGCGAGGGGCTGCCGTGGCACACACAGCGCCCTAGCGCCCGAGGAGCCGGGGCTGTCTCTGCAGGAGAGGAGCAGCGGGGCGCGGCTCGGCCCTCATCCCGCCGAGCTGCGGGGGCTCGCCCGGCCTCCCCCGCAGGTGGCCGCCGCCTCAGCGGCTCCCCCTGCCCGCCCGCCGGCCGCACGGCCCGGAGCGCGGCGGGGGAGGGGCCGCGGCCCGCCCCGCCCCGCCGTGCCGCTGCCGGGCGGCGCTGCAGAGGGCGGAGCGGGCGGCGGGGTGGCGCGGCCGGCGCCCGGCGCGGGCCGGCTCCCGGCGGGCGGCGCTGCTGCGTTGCTCTGGGAGGCGCCGCGGGGCCGGGCGCGGAGCTGCGGGCTCGGGGGTGTGAGCGGCCGGGCAGGGCGCCCCCAGGATGCTGCGGTTCCTGCGCAGGACCTTTGGCCGGCGGTCGATGCAGCGCTACGGGCGAGGAGCCGGGCGCGGAGCCGGGCGAGGTGGGCTCGGCGGCGAGGGGGACGAGCGGGACGGGGGGCTGCGAGGAGCGGCCGCCGCCGCCGTCGGCTCGGGAGCCTTCCCCTCCTCGCCGCTCCCCGGAGGGGTCGTGCACGGCGCCGGAGCGCCCGTCCACATCCCGGCGGCCGGCGGCAGCAAGCCGGTGCTGCAGTGCCGCGTCCTTCTCCTGGACGGGACCGAAGTCAACGTGGAGCTGCCGGTGAGTAGTGCGCGCTTACCTCCGCCGCCCGCAAAACGGTGCCTTGCAGCTACCCTCTCCCCTCCTCCGCATCGTCCCCCCCCTCTCTGGCGACACGCACCTGCGAGTGCCCCCCCCCGGCCGCACAACAGGCGCCGTTCGCCGGGAAAGCCTCGCTAGTTTCGTCCTTCCCTCCGCGGGCGCCCTCGCCGCCGTCTCCGCCCGCATGCACCTGCTGCCAGGTGCGCGGCGCGCCTCCCCGCCATGACCGCCGCCCGCCCCCGTCCTGCCGGCGGGAGCAGTCTGCGCCCCTCTTCCCTCTCCCCGGAGCCGGCGGGGAGGTGGGCACCCGCTCTCCTCCTCCCCTGCGCAGCCGAAAGCAGCCCCTTGCAGCGCTGCCTTTGGCGGCGCCTCTCCCGCCGGGAGGGGCCGTCCCCGCGGTGCGGGCGCTACCTGTGCCTTTCCCCGGCTGGCGCGGGGGGCTGCTCGCCGAGCCCGCTCGACGGCACCGCCGGCTCCAGGGGGCATCCCGGTGTGCCGGGCGGGGGAGAATGGAGCCTCTGGTGTCTTTGGCCTCGCTGCCCTGCGGCTTGCAGCCCCCAGCCCCGCAGCACCTGTGGCGCCGCGGGGAGAGCGAGGGGCGGCCGCGCCGCGGTGGGGTCTCCGAGGGGTCGCCGCCTCCTTCTTCTCCTTAGTTCTTTTTCCCCACCGTCCCCGCTGCCGGGGCCGGGTGAAGGGTTCTCCGGGATGCCCGAGGCGCTGTCCCCGTCCCGTGGCGCCCGGGTGCGGGGCCGTGGTCAGGGGTGAGCCCGGGCGGCTCCGGGGTGCAGCCCGACCGTGGACGGTGCCGGCGCTGAACTTTCTCCCCTGCCGCTGCTGTGCAGGAGGAATGAGGAAGGGACGGTACTGGCCTGCGGGGCCGTGCGTGTGTTGTTTGTGCCTGTTCGCTGAGGTTGGGCCGTGTTTGTAGGTGTTTCAGTGTCCCCAAAGCCCGTTGTCTGTCCTTTTATCTCTCTCAAACGCAGCTGCACTGTGTGCATCGGAAATTTGCAGTTTTGGTTTTTGCATTTCTCACAGCTGCTAAGTACTCACCACCCATCCTTTTTTTGCTCACCTTTTCCCTCCCTCTTGAAACCCAAGTTTCCCATGAAATAGTATGGAAGTTTGTTTGAAAAACATTTCATGTCTTTCAGTTTCAGCCTAAATAGTCACTAGCTATTAAGCTTGGTCTCCAAAAACAGGTGGGAGAACTTAGTGAGTGTAACAACCTGAGAAATTGTGCACTGCTTTAATCTCCAGCAATATAAAAGGGTTTTTTCTTGTTAGGTGCCTTTCATATTAGCTGTCATCTGTATATATTGGCATCATTTCACTAAAACATGGAATTTTGCAACCCTATTGTTTCTACTTGAAAGAAACAGAAGAGATTGAGTAAGAGTCTTACAAGTGAAGTATGTGAACGGAGCCACCTAGAGATACTTGCTGCAAGCATTATCAGGCCTCCCTTGCCTACAGACTACATCACACATTTCTAGATATTTGAAATGCTAATATATTTCCTCTCCTCACATCTCCTTCTCAACTTGCTGCACTCCTCCTAGCATCTCAGCACAAATTTTATAAAGTAGAGTTGATGATTGTTATCAGCATGCTAAGGGTTTACTTATAGAGGTCTATGTCAATAAGCTTGGTAAATATTTTGTTTAAGGTTATACTCTAATTTGTCAAAGGTCAGATTTTGCTGTAGAGCCCATTTAAGATGGTCTGAGGATTCGTAGGATCAGAAAATGAGGTAATGAGACTCACGGTCCTTGAGTGCTGAAAACATATGGACATATCTGCTTGGCCCAGGTATGAAGCTGTGGAGCATTCTTGCTTGAACTGACCTCCAAATGAAGCTTAGACTTGCCAGTGCCCTCAGATTGTGAGCTGCACATGTAGTAGCTGTAGCTCAGCTGTCCAAAGACAAGACTAAGAAGTTGGCTTCTTTTTTTTTCACCCAAATCCCTAGACTGATGGAGGACTTTGGAGCATGTAATAGCTGTCAGTGTTTTGAGGATTAAAAACTGTTCTGTTGAATTGCGTATCTGTTCCTCATGTTTTTTTCCTTTCTTTAACTGAAAGTGACACCCACACCGAGAGTTAGAAAAACTGAAAAAAGCATTGCACTGTTTATAGAATTTGATCAGTAAAGTTTCTCTGAGCTTTGCAGGTCTAGATTTTATGGGAATAGGGCGTGAAACAGAACATGCTTTAATACTCAGAAGCTGAAGTATGGGACTGGTTGAGCTGAATTAATTGAGTAGCATCTCTTAAAAAAAAGTGTATGGTGCTTTCTTTCATATCAGCTCAAATTTTTTCATAAGGAGGGAGGGAGTGTGGGCTTCGTCACCAATGAGCAGTGTACTCATAAACTCAAGTAGAGAGATGATTGCAGAGGATTTCACTATGCTGCTGATTGTGTTTGCAAGCACTTATTTCAGGAGATACTGGCATCTATAAAAATGTGCTCTTCATGCTGACATTACACCCCTTTTGCCTTTCTAGTTGAAAAAGGAACTTGTTGATATTAGAGTACAATACTCTTGCAACTACAACCTTTTAGGCTATCTCTAAGACTTTGTTTAGAAGTAATTGAAAGGTTTATTGGATTTCAAAGACTACAGGGTTTATTTGCTTGTGTGGAGGAATGACAGAAAAGACATGACTGGAGGAAAGTTAGCTATATACACCGAAAGAAGATTCTTTTTCTTTCATTTTCATTATTGTATGAAACAGTTATTTTTTCTTTTTTTTTTAATATTCCAATTAAACGGAAACCCTGAAACTTTTGTCTAAGGTAAATGTATCACGTTCTGCTGCTGTGTTTTCCTATATGAGGTGGCTGTTGGAAAAATAAATCCTGCATCAGTAAATTGGTAACTGCCTTTGGTTGATGTTGTAATTTGTGTGATACTGTCTGTATCAGAAAGTATGCGTCTTGTAAACTTTAGTTTGTTCACGGTGGCAACAGAAGCAGGATCTGTCCTGATCTCCAAGTTCTTCCTTAGCTCGTTTTTCTCTAGGCTGTATAGCAGTAGTGAACTGGAGTAATCTTCCTCCTTTATTGGTGCTCCCACACCCTCTTTCTACTGGAGCATTTGCACTTTATTCTTTTTACTGCATGTGCTCTGCCCTTGGACTACCCCATCTGCAAGCCTGCCCTTCTACGTGCTGTGTACTCTTCCATTTGTAGGTGTTCTCTGCCTTTCACAAACTTGTTTTGTACCCAGCTGCCCCCACACAAATGTCAACATAAGATTATTCTGAGCACTGCAGATACCCCTGGATAATGGATTCTATACTCAGCTTCTTGCATGAAATTTCAAGGATTGCTTAATGATGCTGGCTTTTTTCTTCACTCTTAAGGCAAGAATCATGTACTTCAAAAGTATTCTTTCTAAACAGAATAATGCACTGGATGGCTTTTTAAACCCACGAGCTCCTCAGGGCCCTGTATTGAATGTGAGATGCTATTAAGGTTGGATCTGTTATACAGGAGTGAGTGGCAGTTGACCAGTTCTGTTGCTGTGGGGTGATTGCCCATGGGAAGGGGAACATAAATGGTGTCATTACTGCTTCTTGACCTAACACCACGTGTCTGCACATCTGAAATCCAGTGATGAGAACTGATGCAAGGAGAAAAAAAAACAAACCGCTTCCCTTAGAAACCATCCCTCCTTCCTCGCACATAGCTGTCTATTTCTTTTTACCATTGGGAACCTATTTAGTATCTTTTGTGTTCCACTCTCACTTAAACTGGAGGTTATTAGCTGGTCAGAGTTTGCAATTTGGTCATAGGTAGATGGAAGGCCACTTGCTCATTGTTGCCAAAACAATCCTGCCTCTGTTTTTCTGGAGGACTCGTGACGTGAATGAAAGAAAAACTGGTTGTAGGTGATGCTGTGTTCTTACAGAAAGAATGCAAGGAGAGAGCATTGACATTTAGGCAGCAGTGATGGTGCCTGCTAGTTAATACATAGATGGCTCTCAGATAAAGCCAAAAAGCCAAATTTTTCTTACCTCTAAGGCATGATAGCTGACATTTCTAAAAACTGAGCCTTTGATTTTTAATTAGGTGCATCTTATGAAAGCTTAAAGGGCAGATATGAAATATGGCTATTCAGTGGAACTGTCAAGAGTAGCAGGAATTAATGTTGCTCAATGCTGTTGAAAACAGTATTTTCTGATAAATTGTGGGAGAGCAGGAGGAGAATGTGTAGAGTGTTCTTGGCTTTCTGTAGTCTTAAGTGGGATAAAAGAAGCAGCAAATGGTAAGCTTCCTCCACTAAGAAAATCCTCGTCCTGCAAAGCAGATCTGATACACCTTGTATTTTCTGTGATGTGAATCCACAGCAGTCAACATGTTGTCTGTTATAAATACTTCTTTCTAAAAATCTTCTTGCTCTGATAAATTCCTCTGCTGCTGTGAAGACCATTACAAAGACTTGTGTGATGTATTAGAAAGTATGTAATGTTTAAGGATTAAATTAATCAACAGCTCAAATATAACTGTTCAAATCTGTGAATTATTTTCAGATGAATGGCTTTTATATTATTTTGTTGCCATCCTTTTGGTGTATCTATTTTAATAATTGTTTTGGCTGCTATGGAAACACTTCAGGATAGGAATAGTAAATGCTCTTCAATACTGTTTTCTAATCTTTTATCTGGATGTGTTTTATTCTTATTGGGGTAACATGAACATAGCAAAAATTGCTGTCTGGCCTCCATGCTTACATCAGATATAAATGTTAAATTAACTCTTGAGCAGTTATCTCAGTTTTATTGATTAGTGTATTTGACTTGATGAAGTCATAAACATCAGGAGAGAAGTGCAACTAATTTTTCTTTCTTTCATATCACATATGACTTCCAAATAATGTTTAATTAATATTATCTCTAGAAACATGCTCTGATATGCATGTAGATACTTGGGTTCAGGTCCTGCTCTGGAGTTTCCTAGCTAAGGAGTTACACAC